TTACTACATCTATAATTTTACATTTAATAAATCTCATTTAAACAAATGTTTATTAATTTAATCATACAAATTTAAATATGTTTTATATCTATTAATAATTAATGATTATCATAGATTTAAGAAAAATGCACAAGAATATAATATAATAAATGAACAGTTTTGTCAGATATACTATTTGACTTATTTAAACATTTTAGCATTATAAATTCAATAAAAAATTCAAAATAAAAATCGCAATATCTAATTGTGGTAGGCAAGAAGAAACAGCTGTAATGGGATGACTACCAGTTTTTAAGACTAATAATAAATTGATTAATAATAAATACATAAATGAATAAAAATATGCTAAGTTTTCAGATTGCCTATTTGGAAAAAACCACATATAATTCTGATCAAAACTTAAAAAAATAAAAAAATCTAATAATTTAATACTTAATCAAATATTTATTTACTTAATTATTTATATTTTAAAAAATCTTTATTCATCAATGAAATTCTGGTACATTTAAGAGAGACTTGTCATGTTAATAAGATTAGAATGTTGGTTAAATGCAAAAGCAAAGTAATTATATTTACATATTATAAATTAAAAATAATATAATAATTTTGTTAACAAGTAATCATAAAATAATATACTGTATTTGCCAGTTCAAATGGACAGCCTGAATCTCAATCTAATTTTAGTGATAATTATAATTTATTTATCATTTAGAAAGTAATTGAAAAATCACAATAAAATAGTCTATTCACATTATATACAAGTTAATTTTGAATTTATTCGAAATTCATTCAAAATAGATTCAGAAAGTGAAAAGACTCGATGGTATTCATTACGACAAATTATAATTATTAATAAATTTTAAAACACATTTTTTAATTAAAGCAATTTATAAATATTAAAAAACAATGAGAATGTTAGAAATAAAATTAAGTACATTTTTGAATAAAATTATTAATTAATATCTCTCCATTTTAAATTTGAAAAAAAACAAAATATTCTTTGTAAAAATAAATGACTGAGGATATCGTTAAGAGCTTTATACATGGAATAATAACATGAATTTGAGGCACTTGATGTTATTTAAAAAATTATTAAGTATGTATAATTAAAGCCCATCTAAATTATTAATCACCTGTTTATTAATGGCAAAAAATTTGATTTTGAATTTATTTGAAATTTATTCGACTACTACAAAAATAGACTGCAATGCCATTCGCTACAACAAATTATGATTAGTATAATTATTAATTAAATTTTAAACTTACTTTCATAAAATTTTTAAATAAAATTTTATAAATAATTTAAAAAATATTTTGGTATATAATTTATCGAATAAAATGCATAAACATTTAAACTTATTAATGAAACTGTTTAAATTTCTGGAAAGCTCTTGAACATGTGTATATAGATAAATATTATAGATAAATACACAAATAAAATAGCTACATAATCTATATGCTTGATGTGTTAAAAATAAATATTTAATAATAGTTCATTTTACTTAATATAATTAAATTTATTTAATTAATTTTCATATTTTGAGATATGGAAAAATATCCAGAGATAGCGAATAATTATATGAAATAGTACTAAAAATTTAAATTCTACAAATATATATTTTGTAATTTGAATTTTGAAATTGAAACTACAAAAAAATAGATAAATAATCTTTATGATTGATATGTAAAAATAGATATTTAATATTTGTTCATTTTAAATAATTTAATTTAAATACTATTAAATTAATAATGTTACGGCTATGAGGACATAAAGGAGATCTCCACAAACAGTTAATAATTGTAAAAAAAAGTATATCAGTTATGAGAACTAAAAATTTATATTTAAATTTTAAAAATAAATATTTTGAAATTTGAATTTTGAAATTGAAAATTTTTTAAAATATTTGAAATATAATACATGATTATGATGAAGGTGACAGTATATACAATTCGAATATGAATGTTTGAGTTATAATCGATTAAAATTGATATTAATTACTTTTAAATAAAAATAGAATTTATATTAAAATTTATTATTTTTATTATCAATAGTTATTTATTTTAATAAATAATTTAAAATAAAATTGATAAATTAAATGACTAAAATAATTTTATTAAAATAATAACATAATAATGGTAATTTATATAGTAGAATTATTATTTTTTTAATTTAACAAATTATAACTCATACTTTAGAAGATGACTGCAAACCGCCTTCACCTGAACCTATGCAGAAAACAATTTATTAAATTTTACTAATTAATTCAAATTTTAGTAATCAATTAAATAAATATCCATCTGACTATAAAAATATGAAAAACGATTTTACTGATATTTTTATATCAGGGATTCTACTGATCTATTTATACATAATGATATTTTATTTGGCTTGCTTATAAATTTAATAAATATTAAAAATAAATGTTAAAAAATTGATAGCTTATACCGAGAAAAGTAATTAAAGTTATAAATTATAAAGTTATAATTATAATAACTATAGAATTATAATAACTATACTATTAAGTATTATTATTACAGATGAAATTTTGTTCAAAATTACCAAATAATAAAAGATAAAAATTAAATGTTTATACCTAAATTAAATTTGATAAAGAAATTGTCAGTTTGATGTGAGGGCTGATTAATATTGTTGGAGAGAGAAAGGATGTTTTTTTGGTTGACATCACTACTAAAAATTTAAAAATATATTACAAATAAAATTGTACATATAATAGAATAATAGAAAAATTATAAAATTATTAAATTTAAATTATTTTTTATAACAGTTATTTTTTTATAACAATTTATGAAAGATTTTAAAGTACTGAGATTGTTAATAAAATAATAATAATTACATTTTTAATATATAAATTAAATATGTTAAAGAGATTAACTGTTAATATCTGAAATATGATTAATATCGTTGGAGAAAGAAAATTTATGCTTTGGTTGACTTTACAAATGCCACTTTTACATGAAAATAAATAAATTGTATATTAATATAATTTAAAATTATATTGTTAGCTATAATAATTATATTATAATAGCTATAATAATAATAATAATTAAATTATTTCAATCAAATTAATAAATTAATTAAATTTTCCCATTCTATTTATAACTCACTTCCCATCAAACATCTACTATATAATCACATTTTTTCCCTAACCATACCATATACTAAATTAATTAAAATTTAATCTAAATTAAGTTACTGATTAAATATGTATTTTTAATAAATTAACATTTAAATTATCTTATTATAAGATAATTTCTACTATAAATTAAAAATTATTTCTACTATAAATTAACTACTATAAATTAAAAAATTATTGAGTATGTTTGCTAAAGGCAACACCAGCAACATATTAACATATAAGAATCAAAATATAATTATTATAAGAAATCTGACATGCTCTAAAAGGAATAAACCCTTCAATTGTAAAGGAGAGGTAATAATAATGAAAAATGAAATAACTAATACAGTTATAATTAAGGAATTTTTAAATAAGGAATTTTTAAAAATAATAAAATACTTTTTTTATTTCAATTATTATTTAAAAAAATTTAGTCTCAAATTGATGAAATTTATGTGTAGAACAAGAAGTTTTGATTTATATTTTCCAAATCAATGTCGTTAAATCATCAGAAATATAATTTATTTATACACACAAGCATCAGCAACGAACGTATTGTTATAAGATAGACAGAAAATTACAATAAATAATTTAAAATATAAAAAGTGCAAAGATTTTTATCCTATTTTTGGATAAAAACAATAATTACAATTAATAATAATTAATATATTGTAAATTAATTGCTATGGAGGAAGTCATGACAAATTACAACTTTCAATAATTTTTAAAATCTAAATTTCTACTACAAAATTAAGTCAAGTAACAGAGAGCTACTACATGAATATTTAAATTGCTAAAAATACTTTAATTAATTAAAAAATGACATGGCAAATAAGCTAATAATTCAATATAACTAAAAAATAACACTAATTTTACAATAATGTGATATCTTTAAATGGTGATATCTTTATTTTTTTATCATGGTGATATCTTTAAAATATATTTGCGAATATTAAATAAGTATTTATTTACCTACTTTATTTTTATATAAAATTACTTCATTAGAAAGTGATAAAAAAATCTGTAAATAAATAAATCTGTAAATAAATAATAAATTTACATGTAAATAATATGAATTTTTTATTTAAAAATATGAATTTCTAGATGTAGGTATTTAACACATCTCACATTATTATTGAAGTAAAAATCGTCCTGTATAACTAAAATTATGCTATTAAAATTGTAAAAAATTAAAAACATTATTGTTTTGTGGGTAAAAACAGAAAAGTCGCTTGAATGCTTACACATCGCTTGAATACGTTAGAAAGTAAAATTAAAACAGTTTCAGTGACATTGAGTTTAAATATAGATATAATAAAATTTCGCATTGTCGTTAAGAATATAAAAAAAGTTAGCAGTGAAATATAATTTAAAAAAATTTTTAAAAATTATATAAACATGAAATAATCGGAATAATATCAAATTCTTATGTAAATTTAGCGTTAGGCTCAGTTAACGCTAATTAAAACACTTTACTTAAATTTTCCACACACAACAAAATATATTTATTTTCTTTTAATTTAAAAAATTACAATTGATTAAAAAGCAGGAAGGAAAATGTGTGAAAAAAAAGAGGCACTAAAACAAAAGTGATTGCAGGAAAAAGACCGCTGGTAGGAACGTGAAAGTCATTTAAATAAGGCCAGCGAACATAAAAAACTTTAAGATGATTATGTTAGATAACGTCTGGGAAATTGTTTTGTGGATGAGTAATTTCAATAAAATTTATATTTTTAATTAAATTTATAATTCGCGTTGTGACGCGACACTCCCGGGCCGCAAAATGGTTGGACATTAATAAGTTGGAATGGCAAGAGTGGAGTTGAGGGAGTTAGGATTGGGACCGCAACAAACGAAATTTGGGGAGTTGGCATATAGGTCGGAACAGGTGCAGAAACAATAGAATGGCCACATAATGATTAGATTGATGGGGCTGGAGTATTTTTTAGATTAGGCATGAAATTGGGAGGTGGTGGCGGAGTTAGTAAGTTGTGTATATAAGTCGGGTTAAGATGGACCTTATTAAGGGGAGTGGGTTTCGGAAATGTAATTCTTTTACGAATTCTTTTATTTTTTGTCCTCTCCCATTTTCTTATCATGTTTTTCTTTATGTTGTGTTCATTGATGGGCAGGGCTTCGATTTGGCCAGATTCCAGAATGCGCACTCGCGAGGCGATGTTGAGGCGTTGGGGTAGTTTGAGAGCAGCCAACGGTGGCGGACCATCAGGCAGCGGGATGTCGACGGCAGCAGGTTCGTCATCCGTTGTTTTATGAGTGGCAGCAGGTGGTGAAGGCGGTTGAACACGTGGATGAGTCGGAGTTGTTTCTGTTGGTGGTGGTGCGGAGGATTCCGTAGTCGCAATGCCAATCGTTGGAGTAGGGTCACATTCCATTGTCGAGTCTGTTGTTTCTGCCTGTTGTGATCTGTTATCTTTTAAAAGAATTTTAGGTTTATCATTAGAAATGTTTATAAATTTTAAATAACGTTGTATATGGGCAATGTCTTTTTGGGAAATTTTGGACATAATGAACTAAAATTTTAATTGATTTATCTTAAATAATGGAAAGGGATTATTAAAAATTGAATTTAACTTATTAAATTTAAGGGGGGTTTAGTGTCGTGGGTTTGAGCGATTAACGAGCTCCTGGATGTTGGAACTCAAGTCTTGTAATTCAATAGGAGAATGTGGTCGGGCGTTCTTGCCCTTGAACAAATGGAATAGGAAGATGGCTACTTTTACTATTAACAGTAATACAAGGACCGACAGGCAGCCGAAAACGGATAGAACCGCTACGGAAAGGTCAGGATGTTCAGTCAAAAATTGGGCAAAGGATTCAAAACCTAGATAAACAGCCGAAGTGGCTAAAATTGGAATAGTACCTTTAGCAATAGGTTTTCCTAGGCGTTTAAAAAGAGGGGGTTTCTTCCACAACGGAGATTTACGGCCTGGAAATGAGTTAGTGTCGCTAACAAGAGCGATAAGGATAAATAACAAAATTACGAGAAAAGTCGGCGGGGGTGTCCACCGTTGAGTGTTTCGTTTTGGATGGTGTCGTTTGATTAAGCAAATAATTAAAATTAAAATGATGACAAAAATTGGCAGAAAAATAGCCAACAAATTCCAGGTAAGCCAATTGTAGTTGTCAGGCTCGGAAATAAATTGTAGTTCAATATTAATAAGTTCGAGGGAAATAAGACTACCCATTAATTAGAAGAGAACTGAAAAAGATTTTAAAATTAAAATTTAATTACAAAAATTAAAACTACTAAAAAATTTTTAAAAGGATGGGGTAGGAGTAAATTAGTTTGTTTATGAAGTTCGCTCAAGCGCCCTCCCCCGGGAAGTTGAATAGTGTTTTACAGAAATTAAAGGATGGGGAATAAAATTGTAAAAATTAAAACTAAAAGTTAATGTAAAAAACAATTTAATGAAAAATGGCTCTATTCCGGAGTTGTAACACTTTGGTCGGGGATCGAAGGTTTCTCTCATTTACTTCCCTTTTTTGTTGTATAATGTTTGGTTCTTCCTGTGAAAGTCTTTTTTCTACTTCTTCTGTCGTTTCCAATGGATATAAGTGAGATACGGATCTAAACAGAGTGTTTCCACTATGAGAAGTTTTAACCAATGCTGTGTCTGGGAATTGTCCTTCGTTAAAGTGTACTTTGATTATAATCGCAACAGGCCAAAGAGCTTTGGGTGACTCACTATGAATTAATACAAGCTCTCCTTTTTGAGGCCAACGGGGATTTTGAGAGGAAATTTTGCGGAATCTCTCCCTGAGAGAAAGGAGGTAATCATCCCGCCACCGTACCCAAAAAATTCTTGTCGTTTTTGACAAACTTTTCCATAAGTTTTCTAAAGTTGAGGGATTACTTTCAAGGGAATAATCGGGATCATTTTCGGTTTCTTTGTTTATCAGTAACGGCCAATTGTGAAGATTGTAACCTAAAGGCCGCATAAAATCAATAGGCCTGAGTGGGAGGGGGTCCGCTGGATTGGAACTGCAAAAACTAATTGGTCTCGAATTTACACAACTTTCAATCTCTGAAAGTATGGTTAGGAAGTTGTCAAATTTGGAAATATGCGGAAAAAGTCCTTTGGCCAAGGACCTACGTAAATGAAATTTTACCAAGGCTATAAGCCGTTCGTAAAAACCTCCACGCCATGCGGCGTACGGTACTCTTAAATGCCAAACAATAGGGTGAGTTTTCCACGAATTTTCAAAAAATTTCTTAAAAGAAATAAATGTGGGGGCGCTGTCTGAGTAGATTGTTGTAGGAGGTGAAAATTTGGCACAAAATCGCCTAAAAGCGAGTAAGAAAGATTCACTAGTCAAATCGGGCACATAGTCAAGGGAAATTCCTCTTGTGGACAAACAAACCCATATAACAATCCAGAACTTTTTTGTCTTCGGTGTACTTGTAGTTGAGGTTTTTGGAAATTTTTTATCGGTCCGTATGTGTAATGGACCGCAATAATCAAGGCCTGTGGCTAAAAACGGCCGGGAAGGTGATACTCGTTCAATTGGTAATTGTGGGAACGGGGGTGGGTCGAATGGTTTAACTTGAAACTTCCTACACGGAAGGCAGGATTTAAAAAGTATTCGTTCAACAGTGCGTCGACCTTTAGGAATCCAATACTGTCGTCTTATTATCGACAACGTAAGTAAAGGGCTGGAATGGTGGTATATGAGATGAGTTTCGTAAATAATAAGTGACGTTAAATGAGAATTTGAAGGGAGATAAATCGGCTCAACAGTATTTAATGGTAATGAGGATTTTCCTAGTCTACCTTTTGACCTCAGTATATTTTGGTTATCAGTAAAAATTCCTAGGGATTCATTATTTTTATCAGTGGGTGGAAATAAGCGCTGTTCTTGTTGAAGAACAATCGAAAGCGCACGTCTATATTCTTTTATACTAATTTTCAGTGACGGATATTTTTCTTTAAGCATTGGAAATATTTTGGATTTTGGTTTTAAATGGGAGAGAAAACGAATTACATACGCTATACAGCGCAACGCTTTATATAGTCTAGAGTGGTGTGTTAGATCAAAAATTGATTGGTGTTGGGTAATGGCAAATGCGAATATAGGGTTCTCTGCTTCCTCTTGTTTTGGCCCTTTATATTCGTTAGAAAGAAATGGCTTGACCTCTTTATTGTCTGGCCAACAGGTGGAAGGGAGTGAGAGCCATTGCGGGCCGTCCCACCACATTAAATTAGAGGATAAAGATTTTACTGAGGAAATTCCGCGTGTTCCTAAGTCGGATGGGTTTTCTTGACCGGAAACGTGGCGGATAATCAAATTTGGGATTTTTTGAATACTTTTAATTCTATTGGAAACGAAAATGTCACGGATGTGTATTTTAGTATTTACCCACGAGATAGCAACTGAGGAGTCGCTCCAAAGGTTAATTATTTGGTCAATATTTAAATTCTCTAAATGTTTATACACAAATTGGAGGGCTTTTGTGCCCATTAAAATGGCAATTAATTCTAGTTGGGGGATTGTCCTTTTTGTTTTTATGGGTTTCACTTTCGTTTTGCTAAAAATAAGTCTCACGTCCGTTTTACCATCAGGCAAGTTTTCAATTCTCATAAATATAGCTGCGCACATTGCTGCTTCAGAAGCGTCTGTAAAACAATGTAGTTGGAATTTCTTTTGTTGATTTGAATTGGAGAGTCGTCGTGGAATGTTAATAGGTGTTTCATCAGTCCATTCTTTTAATAGAGTATTCCATTTTTCAACCAAATCCACTGGAAGTTGGTCGTCCCATTTAAGTTTATTTTCCCATAGTGATTGCATAAAAATTTTTAAAGGTAAAATTAGCGGTGTGATTAAGCCTAGAGGGTCAAAGTGTGAAGCTATAAAGGCTAGAATTTTTCTTTTAGTTAGTATGGGTGTTGGAGGGAATGGTTTTATTTTCATTTCAAATGAATCGGAATCGGTGTTCCAACAAAGGCCAAGAATTTTTTGTGAGGGTCCTTTTAATCTTTTAGCCTCGGGAATGTGATTAAGAGCTTCTTTTGAATTACTAGCGAACTCTTGTAGTTCCATATTTGCTTTTTGGAATAGCTCATTTACCGCAATTACTTTAGCTTGAGCTTTTGTGACATTTTGATCGGAGAAGACAATATTGTCAACGTAAGTGTTATTGCTAATTTCGTCTGAAAGGGCTGAAGGGTGTTGTGAAAGGTGGTGTAAAATAGTAGCTCCCAATAGGAATGGCGAGCAGCAAAGGCCGAAAGGGACTCTAGTAAAGCGATAAATTTGTAAATTATTATTATTCAAAGGCTCTTCAATCGATTTAAGCCAAATGAATCGGGTGGCGTCCCTGTGTGAGGGGTGGACGGAAATTTGGAGAAAAGCTTTCATTACGTCTGTTATAATTACAATTGGTGGGATTCGAAATCGGAGTAAAATTCCGACTAAATCTGGAAGAATTACGGGGCCGGGTTCTAATGTGTCATTCAGCGAATTTTCTTTTCCAATGTGCGCTGATCCATCGTATACGATACGAAGTTTATGAGTAATTACGGGCTGGTGGGGGAGATAATGGAGGGGTGATGAATATTGGCTGGGGTCTATTACCGGTTCAATAATTCCAAGTTTTAGTTGTTCTTGGATAATGTTATTATATTTTGTTAGTAAAGCAGTGTCTTTATTTAAAATTTTTAAAGCCGAACGAAGTCGTCCGTAACAAAGGCCATAATTGAATGGTAGTGAAATGGTGGAAGGATCTGTTTTGAATGGGAATTTTACCTCATACCGATTGTTAATAAAGCGGATTTCTTTTTTAAATTTTTGGAAAATTTCATCCTCACTAAGAGTGGGTGGAGGGTCGTTATACCAATTCCTTCCAAGGTGAAGAAATCTGGACTCGGCTCGAACGGGGTTGTTTGGACGCAGAAATTTGTCATTGTGTTATAAATTTTTTGGTAAGTGTGTTTAAATGACTTTCCGGCAACTATTGGGCCGAGTAGAGTTTGGATCAAGTGATAGCCCGAAGGCAAACGGCAAATGGGCGTGGGTTCTAATTCGTAATAAAAGTCACTACCTAATAAAATAGTTGGGCAGGTAGATTTAATGGCGGGTGTTAATTCGCTGTATTGAAGTACCTCAGGGCTAAAGGGTAAGTACGAGGTACTATGAGTGAGGTGGTCTAATGTATTAGCTTTGACCTGTAAGATCCGGCCATTCAGCAATTGGATTCCAAATGTAGTGGAATAAGTTTGTGTTGGCTTGAATTTCGGGTT